CAGGCTAGATGATCTGTTCAGGTCCCTCCTGACCCTAGCTACTATGATACTATGATTATGGGCAGAATCACTTGCAGTGTTCACACAGCTGCTTGCACACAGCCAAATGCAACCAAGGGCCAAGCCACTCTAACTACAGCACGTGAACAACTCAGCAGCCGCAGTTTAGCTGGCGGAGAGGCCTTCACAGTTACTGTCTGCAACTGCAGGTACAGACCTTGCTGCATTGGCCTGTGATTGGGAGCAGTTGTCTCCTGCCTGCCAAGGTACAGGTGAAGCCCTCAGTCCTAGGCTGCTGGGTGGAAGATCTGCTGCAGCCTTCGCCTCTGCATCCTGCTGGAAAGCAGAACCTCAGTCCCTTTCTGAGAAAAGGCCTCCTACAATAACCAGCTTCTGCTCCTTGGTACTCTCTCCCTGAGCTTGCTGCCCCCGCAGTGAGTGTGCACCCCCCCCCCGAAAAGGCAACACAGTTGCAAGGGAAAACTGACTTTTCCACCCAGCACCTGAATTGCCCTGCTAGGAGCAGCCATAATCAAATATATGTGGAAACTAAGGATACTTTCAAAAGACTCTTCAAGATATTTAGAGAAAGGGGAATCCTTGCAGCTGGGTTTTGCTCTAGCGTTCTCCCAGCCTCTTGGTAAACAGCTTTGATTGCATTCAGTTTGGCACCCAGGGTTGGAAGAGCCCTCATGGGTGAGGCAAAGCCACCTCTTGTGTGCACCTTACTGCTGCTTAATTCAGTTGATCAGACAGCTGGGAGAGGCGCTAGGCATTGCCCCCGGGTGAAGCGATCAGGACTGCACTAGGAAAGGTCTGGTGGAACAACACACACAGCAGGTTTATAACAGAAAGGTGCTGGAGCTCCTCCACCTGTTGCAAGAGACAGCCGCCCGCTTCCCGGGGCTGGAACAAACTGCAAGTGTGGAAGCACGCACAGACTATCACCAGGTCTGGTAATAAGTTACCTTCCCCCAAGCAAGCGTTAAGCCTCCCCACCTCAGCTCTTGCCTTGATTACAAATGCAGAAGCATTAAGTGTAACGGTTCATGTTACAATCCCTTGTCTCCAGAGCAAATGCAAAACATTGATGGCCTCCAGACAGCAGCTGGGACTAAGGAGGGGCCGCTGCCCACAGCAGTGGGACTGACAGCAGCAAGGGAGAGAGCAGCAGTGACATGCAGGAGCCCATCAAACCATGAAAACCCTTTGAACTAGCTGTAGCCTAAACAGCTGTCCCTGAAACACAGACGAAAAGGCAGAAACCTCGCTTCTGGTCCCAGCTCTGTCAACCCCAGCCCACTCCGGTCCTCCCAAGGACAGCCCTCAGCCTGCTGTGGCTCAGCTCCCCAAAAGATCCTCCAAGCACTGTGCAAACCTCAGTGACGACGCTCGTCTCCACCCAACTGGATGTAGAAAGCCACAATACGGAGTCCGGCGCATACGTGCATCGTACTAAGACTAATGCAGCCTCTCTCAGCCCCAGCCCTGCCCTGCTGCAGGCAGCAACTTGGTTTTTCACAGAACTGGAAGCCGACAGAGGCTACGTGACCGCCATGGAGTACTGGTCTTGCTCTTAGATAGCCTCAAGGCAGCGGAGCCTGCCCAGGCTTTTCTGCCCCACGCCTCCCTCTGGCCGTTCCCGAGACACGAGGTTGCAGCAGAGCAGCAGTGCCAGCGGGCGCACGCTCTCATGCTTTCCACGGTCCGCTTGATTCCCTTCAGAGGGAACAGCCAACATCAGGTTTCTATACACTCCCCACCCCCCGCCCCAGTGAAAGAAAACGTTTTCAAAACTGTATTATTTTTTGCCATAAAAAAAAAAAAAAAAAAAGCCAGAAGGTTTACAGTGATTCCCAAAGATTGGTTTCTCCTCCCAGCCCCAGTGTCAGCTGTTCTTGTGCAGAAACTCCAGTGCAAATAAGTCAAAGATAGGGTTATAGGATATCTGGGTGGCTGGTGGTGCCTCCCACCCCCAGTGTGAACATAGTGCTAGTGAGGTCTGCTAGACTGGCAGCCCCAGACAGTGCATCCCTTCATGGGCCCAGCAACAGGAGCGTCTCCACCCTGCTGTATTGTAACCTCAGTCCCCACTTCCTGGCCCAGACCACCACCCTGCGCACACGCTACCAGCCCCTGGGCAACCAGGACTTTTCACTTGCTGCTGCCCGCTTGGGTGGCAGCAGGCGATGAGAGTCCCTGAGCTAACCCCTCCCTTCCCCGTGCTGCATTCAGCTGTGCTGTGCCTCGTGCCCCAGCTAGACATGACTCTGCAAGAGGCGCGTTGCACAATGCTATCCTACCGTCCAACTACCGTCTGTTAAACAAAAGAGCACCCTCCACTACAGCTTTGTTTTTAATCAGTTTAAGCACCCCGTCGTTACCACCAGAGTCAACATTTTACTCCCGCTCAGCGTCAGCAGTCTCGTTTTCAACCGGTCCTGTAACTGTGCGGCACCGACAGAGCACACCTAATACTGTCGTCCTTTACCAGCACCCACATGAGCCACATCTCGGTTGGGGTGAGTTTGTGCACGATCATCAGCTCTTTGAACAAACAGGGATCAAACGGATTAAAAGGTCTCTGGATGCCAAAGGTCTTAAAGCCCGGGTGCTTCACCGGGGTCACAGCCATCTTTGCCAGACACATTCCCACAAAGACGTCATCTATTGGAAAGAGCTCTGTGTCCTCGGCAGCGCGCTGCAGTCGCTGCACCGTCCTCCTGGACATGACGAACCCGCCCCCGCCAGCATAGAGAGGATAGTGGGGCTTTTTGTACATCGACTCCGGGATAAAATACTTGACTTTGGTGTTTCTGATGGGACGGGCGTAGTGGATCACGTCTCCAACAAAGAGGTCCTGCTTGAAGTCTAGCTCTGCAAGAAACTCAACGATGTTGTAAGTGTTGACAAAGACGTCGTCGTCGCCCTTCAGCACGAACCTGGCGTGTGGGCAGTCCGTCACGAACCAGCGGAGGAAGTGCAGCTCCTTCAGCGTCAGGTTGAAGAAGTTGTCAGTGAAATCCCACTGGACCATGTCGTCAAACTCTTGGCTCTCGTAAGCCAGCAGCTGGCGGAGGGAGTGACCCCGGGCTTTGGCCTCGGCCCGCCCGAGCAGGAACACCAGGCTGACCAGCTTGCCGCCAATGGTCACTTCTTTCCCCCATGTGTTCCGGATGGCGATCCGGCGGTCCACGTTGATGGGGGGAGATTTGATTGCCAGCAACAAGAAGGTCTCTTGGCTGCACCTCGTGGGCCTCAGCAGCGTTGCGAAGTTCCTGCAGTGCCTGTACATTAAGAAGAGGCGGTGAAGCTCTGGGAGAGCCAGAGAGGAGTTGGCAATGGTCAGGTTTGGCAAGCACTGGCTGGGTCCAGTCTGCCCAGGGGCCCAAAACATGCGCCTGGAGTTTGGGGCGTCTGGCATTCGGCCGGCCGGAGACACCAGGGTCTTGGTCTCCTTCTTTAGGTACACAAGGCATGCAAGCACGGTGATTGAGAAAGCATACAGTGCAAGCCTCCAGATCCTGGGAGGCATCTTAAGCACTGGGACAGGATCCAGTCCCTGCACAGTTAAAGAAATACATTGATTAAAGGAGCCGTCTCAGTGTTACTCACTACCTTGTGCTGTAGCACCTAGAAACCACAACCCTGCCGTGCTAGACAGCTTGCAAATACAGCAACGGTTCCTGCCTCAGAGACATGGAAGAAATGAGGCACTGGTCTCGACACATCTGCAACCCGACCGCCATCAAGGACGTGTTTAAATCCTCGCGAAGAGAGAGGGTTGAAGGGGCTCGGAAAGAGAAACCAGAGGCTGGTTGGTTCCTTTCCAGATGTTTCTGGGAAACCCCGCTTAAGCAATACAGGAACCACATGAGAAAGCACCTTATTTTAAACCTAACAAACAGGCGGTGGAAGCTGGCACCGCGGGTGGGTCACCAGCCCCTCAGCTCCAAGAGAGGAGAGAGTCGAGGAAGGGCCTGGAACGGGAATCCAGGTAGCTAGCGGTGGCACGAGGCCTCCAAGCAGGGCCGGACACCGGCAGGGGCGACCTGGGCGGACAGACAGGGGCCCAGGACCGAAACCAAACCCAACAACAGCAACCACCAGGCTCTCTAGCGAAGGGGGCCCCATGCTAAAGGCTCGCCGGGGCCACGAGGAGTCCGGGTCCAACGCCAGCGCAGCCGCGGCTCCGCGCCCCGAAACACCCCGGGGACGCGACGCCAGCAACGAAGCCCTTGTCCCCAACAGAGACGGAGCCCTGCTGTCCCGGTGCATCAGGCCAGCTTCCCCGCGAGCTCGTGGCTGGGCCGAGCCACCCCGCTCCATCGCCCGCAGCCCCGAGCAGCCCGGGCTGGGCAGCGGCGGCGCGAGACAACGCCCTGGGCTTGCTGCCCTCCTCCCCGTCCC